CACACACACACACACACACACACACACACACATACATACATACACGAACGCTCACTCACACACAAACACGATCACACTTGTACATACGCCGATAATACCCCCAGAACGGACATTATAATTTGTTCCCTCCAGAATGTGTTTTTATTGGAGAACATTGTTGATTTACACCTCTAATAACCCAACACAGATACAAAGACGTCATTGCGTCATTGAGTTATTGAACCAAAAGCTGCTATTTTTGTTTTCCTGACAAAAATATCTTACTAATTTCGGTAGTAGAAGAAAAATGACACCCTAGAGAAACCTGTTAGGCTTAACAATAAGATTTAACGAACTCTCAAACCAATGAGCCACCATTGGGGCTATTGTGGAGAGCAAGAGGCGGTTCGCTACTCTTTGGTTTCCAAGTAGGGAGACATTATTTTTATTGAGAATCTCGTTGGTCCTTCTACTCAGATGTTCTATCTCCCTCAACTCGGGCTTTTCCATAAGAAAAGATGGTCGGAAGCTAGCCTCCTAAGTAATTTACATTATGTCAATGTGAGGGCAAAGAACTCTAGAGATCTCAAGGAAGGGGGGGGGGGGCAAAAAAACATATTTTCTAGCAAAATCGCTCATCAGTAAGCTTTAATGAATATTGATAAATCTGAAAGATCTTTCATACGAATGAGATTCTTTCATTCACTTACTTTAACTGTACACACTAGACAGCACTGCGTTGATGATATTCTGGACAATGTCCTAATTATACAGTACGTTTCGAGTACCCTCCCACACTATATCAAGTCTATTTAAATGGTAGAAGGGCCGGGCGTTAACTAGACTCACGGTAAGATACGCTGAGTACATCTAGAGTAAAAAGTTCACATACATAATGGTTTATGTTTTGCGTATGAATCTGAAATTAGCTTTACTGTTCGTAGAGATGTATAGAGAGTGCGTGATTAGGATACACAGAAAGAAGGGGATGGGGGTTAGGAGTGGTGGAGAGACGAAGGAGTAATAAAGGGAGAGTGAGAGAGCGAGACAGAGAGAGAGACAGAGAGAGAGAAAGAAAGAGAGAGAGAGACAGAGACAGAGAGAGAGA